TGTGATATCACAAAATCAAATCGAACCAACGATTCGATCTTCTCTTATGTTCTTGAGACAAGAACTACTCAGGTGCTCTCATGAATTGAGCTTCTCTTTCTTTCTATTTTATTTCAATCATGCTTTTAATTAAACTGTAGTATGATTCATATAGAAAACATATGTACATCAATATGATAATAAACATAATATTTGACATGTGAGCACGACGTTCATACTAGTTGATCGTAGAAAGAAACAATACATCAAGCATATTATATCAACATATACATAGTATACACACGAGTATATAATAACATCAAGTTTGAACATAATATTTCATGGCATAAATAAATTCATGTCCAACATAATGAATTGATACAAATTCTATAGCACGTAATCAATGCATGTCCATGCAATAACACAATTCTAAGGAATTATTATGGCTTACACAAATAATAATATGTATAATAATATTCCTCTTACTAAGTAACTCATACATAATATACGAGACAAGTCTAATTGTTCATAGACAATAACAAAAACGTTAATAAGATCACGTACCACAAATTTCATATAACATATTCGAAAATCAATCAATTGGACGGTTCGACATCAAATGAAAATTGGGAGAAAGTTAATCCCGTATCAAAACTATATGCAATTTATGAAAATAAATATTGCATTTTCATGAGAAATGTCATGCGGTTTATGATAAACTTATTCAAATAATTAACACATACCCTATCACTTTATTGCATTTAGGATAAAATTATTTGTATCATTAATGTAGATACACAAACATAATGAATATTCATTAAGCATATATATTGTATATAGTTTACCATTCTTCCACATATTAAAATTAAACTATCATGCAATAATCCACCATTATATCATATAGAATTATCAATTTATTGCACAAATAGATATCTTATAATTAAAAAACGTACCCCATAAATTATATGTTCGTCCATTCAAATTTTGTGGGTAGCACCAAATCGTGTCAATATTATGGCAGTGCTGAATGATTTAATCATATCTCTTCCGTCTCAAGTCCGATTTTATTGATTCAATATGATCCGAATAGCCAACAAAATTTTCTACAACTTTTATCTTTTACGTTTTCTGAGATTCGGACTTGATCATGATCAAAATAAGCCTCGAAGTCGGAATAGGTGCGCTGTAAATTTGCACCTATACAATGGAACCAGAATAAAAATATTAAATAATATTCATGAATCGAAAATAATATAAAACCTCATTATTGATCTTCGATTCAGTCTTCTTTCACCAAAATTTCGTGCATTGGAAATTGGTGATGGGTTAATATGCGACAAGTTGCATTGGTCACGAACGGTTGTATTTTTCATGAAAAGGTGCATCGGCAGTTCTGCCACCCTTTCGTGTTTTCATCATAACTTCTTCGTACGATCTCCGATTGTGACGATTTAACATGTTCTGAAAAGCTAACTTGATTATCTACAACTTCTGTGAAATGTTAGTTTGCCATATTCGGAATTTAACCCCTTCGAAAATGGGCAGGAATGTGGACTCAAGTTCTGTCCGAAAATGAACTTTCTCCAATTGTATTTTGTAACTTCTTGATTTTTGGCAGACTATCTTCTTCTCCACCTCGTTTACCAACGTGTGCAGAAAATACAATTTACTAAATCACAAAAATATTGTCTTAAGATTGTTATTCCCGACACATAAACGGGTAGTGAATTTAGTAAATTGGTCGAACAAATTAATTAGTAAAAATATGAAAAGATTAGCCGAGGCGAGAATACTCTTTCCTTAAGACAATATTGTCCCGCTACGGTGCTTACGGTTATTTGACAAGTGTCTGCCAAGATACAACGGCTAACTCGGCATATGAGCACTCAAAATCCCGAGTACAACGAACGTTACTTTGTGTCTCAAACTCTCGAATCGAATACCGGAGAAAATATTCTACGAAGAATATATTCGGGCTGAAGAAGGAAGAATTCTATAGAACAAAATTATAATATTGAATTGATTTTTATGCTGTTGTAATCAAACATGTGGAGTTTCTATTTATAAGTTTTCAATGGTTGTGATTAATGAACACAACCCTTAGGAAATTAAACAAGTGAAGAGGTGTGGCCACACCTCTTCATATTGTCACACCTATTTGATCAAATAGGTGCCTAAAATCTTTTTTTATAATTTCCATTCAAAATTTATTTTATTTTATAAATAAAATTCCCAACAGCTACCGTGTCATATTTCCACCACATTGGGTTCTTCCACCGCTGGGATTCGCCGTCGTTGCCATCCGTTGATTGATTGTGGCAAAGAAAGAGCCACCAGCCAGCGGTCAAATTTTGAGACCGGAGCACCAGCGAAAAACCTCAATTTCTTTGCCTTGTGATGGTGAATGGGGAATGGATTGAAATTGGTTCGGTGGTGGTGGTGCGGCGGCAAATCAGAGGTTGTGGTGGCCGGTGGGTGGTGTTTGATTTGTAGAGGTTATAGTTGTCTGATTTGTGTGTGGAGGTGGGTCGAAGACGATGGGTGTGCACTGATGCAGCAATATTCTTTTTTTCTTTTTTTCTTGGGCGCGAATGGCAAATAGGCCCATCACATAGGACTTAAATGCATTTTTGGTCCACAAAAAAAACAGTCTCTCAATTAAACTCATCCCCATGTCTTTAGTCTAAAATACCCTCCATAATATAATTCTTATCAATTCCACCTAGACACGGCCACGGGCCGGTTCGGGCCGGTTCCGGGCCGGTTCAAACCGGTTCACGGTTCACATTTTCCGGAACCGGAACCGGCCCGTAGTATGGACGGTTCAGCGGGCCGGTTCGGGCCGGTTCCGGGTCGGCCCGGAAATTTTGATTTTTTTTTTTTTTTGAAATATTTGATAAATAAGTAAATTAAAAGAAGTACTTTTAAATAGAAAGGGAAAAGGAAATAAATGAAAAGTCAATTTAGAAGCACAAGTTTGAAATATTTGATGAATAAGTAAATTATAGGAAAAATTGGGGTGTGAGGGTATTTATAGGAAAAATTGGGGGGCAAAAAAAATTCAAAAAAAAAAACAAATTTGGGGTGTAAGGGTATTTATATGAAAAATTGGGGGGGAAAAAAATTCAAAAAAAAACAAAAACGGCCGGTTCACCCGGCCGGTTCGGGCCGGTTCACTAGCCGTTTTTGCTTTTTTTTTTGAATTTTTCTTTTTTTTTTTTTTAATCCGGGTGAACCGCCGGGCCGGCCCGGCGGTTCACGGTTCACCATTTCTGAGAACCGGGCCCGTCCCGTGTAGGACGGGCCGGTTCACGGCGGCCGGTTCACTCGGTCAACGGGCCGGTTTGGGCCGTCAACGGGCCGGTTCCGGGCCCAAAACCGGCCCGTGGCCGTGTCTAATTCCACCCATTATGCTCAAACTTCCTTAAAATTACATATTGACCCCGGATTAAACAAATATATCACATTAACCCCCAATTTTTTTTTTCAGAAAATAATTTTTTTTCTGAAATGTTTTTTTTTCCAGCCAGATTCCGGCGTTGCCCGCCTGTCTCCGGCGTTGACTTTTTTTTTTTTTTTTTGAAAACTTTTTTTTTCCTGAAATTTTTTTCCGACCGGTCAACCACTGTTGACCGCCGATCTCCGGCGTTGACTCTTTTTTTTTTTTTTTTTTTTCTTAGAAAAAAAAAATTTTAATTAATATTACTATCTTGACTACTAAATTACTGTCTCAGACAGTAATATTACTATTTGGGACAGTAATATTATGAATATTATTTTCCCGATCAGTAATATTATTAATAGTATTGTCTAAGAAAGTTAAATTACTGTTGGATACAGTAATTTAGCAGCCAAGGCAGCAATATTAATTAAAATATTTTTTTTAAGAAAAAAACTAAAAAAAAAAAAAAAAAAGTCAATTAACAGTTAAATTACTGTCTCCGACAGTTAAATAACTGCTAGAGACAGTACTTTAGCAACGAATACAGTAATATTAATTAAAAATATTTTTTTTCAGAATAAAAAAAGTCAATTAACAGTTAAATTACTGTTTCGACAGGTAAATAACTGCTGGAGACAGTAATTTAGCAACGAATACAGTAATATTAATTAAAATATTTAAGAAAAAAATCAATTAACAGTTAAATTACTGTCTCCGACAGTTAAATAACTGCTGGAGACAGTAATTTAGTAGCAAAGACAATAATATTAATTAAAATATTTTTGAAGAAAAAAAAATCAATTTACAGTTAAATTACTATCTCCGACAGTTAAATAACTGTCGGAGACAGTAATTTAGCAGCCATGACAGTAATATTAATTAAAATATTTTTTTTAAGAAAAAATAAAACTATAAAAAAAAAAAGTCAACGCCGGAGACCGTTGTCAACGGTAGTTGACCGGCCGAAAAAACATTCTGGGGAAAAAAAGTTTTTCAAAAAAAAAAAAAAAAAAAAGGTCAACGCGGGAGACCGCCGGTCTCCGGCGGTCTTCGGTGGTGGCGGGTCAAAATTGAAATTAGGGTTAAAATTGGTTAATTGATGAAATTGAGCTAAATTGGGGTGTAAATCATGAAATTTGAGTTGAATTGGGTTTCAATAAATTGGGGGTAATTTTGGTATACATAAAGGGATTTTCCTTATTTGCAATAAGTTTGAATGTGATGGATTTATTTGAAAGACAAAAAAGTTGAATGTCCCTCTTTTAATTAAGTGCCCTTGTCATGGGCCTATTTGCCATTTACCCTTTTTTCTTTTTTCTTTTTTTTTCTCTTTCTTTCATTTTTCTTTTTAGTTTTTTCATTTTATTTATTTTTGTTAAAAAGAAAATGGGAGTAAAAGGAAAAGACTAACTTACCCAACTATATTCACGTGTGAGGCATGTGATTTGAATGCCGGTAAATTTTGGCTGCCAGTGCTAAGAAAAGTGAAGTTCAGGTATGCCCGTGCAACTTTTTTCCGTTCAGGGTTAAAGTGCAAAAACGTCCAAATTTTAGGGATTTTTTTCAGTTAACTCTAAAATAAAGACATTCAAAAGGATCAACATAAATTTATTTGCTACTCACAAACATATATATATATATACAATAATCAGATAGCTCACACACACACAACTGAAAATTAACTACTAGTCTCACTCTGCAGCCTTAGCATTCATAATACTAATAATATACTCAATCTCCTCGGCCACCTCCTTCATGGAAGGCCTATTCTGCCGCCGCTCCTCCAAACACCCCACCGCCAGAAACCCCAACGCCTTCATAGTCTCCAACTCCAACCCACTCGCCCCTTCCTTCATCATCGGATCCACAGCGTCCATCACCCTCTCCTCCGCCACCAATCTCTGCACATAAACCGCCAAGTTCACATCCTCCGAATCCCTATTGAAATCGATCGCTTTCTGAGAAGTCAAAAGCTCCAAAAGCACAACACCGAAGCTATAAACATCGCTCTTATCCGTCAACTGATAGTTCCTGTAATACTCTGGATCAAGGTATCCCAGCGTACCCTGAGCACAAGTCGACACGTGGCTCATATCCGCATGCGCCAAACGGGATAGCCCGAAATCCGAAACCTTTCCGTTCTGCTTCTCGTCGAGCAAGATATTGCTCGACTTCACATCTCTATGGTAAATCGGAGGAACTGCAGAGGAGTGCAGATAAGCCAGCCCCTCTGCAGTTGCCTGCGCAATACCGAGCCTTCTTTTCCAGGAAAGAAGGACTCGGTTACTACCGCCGCCTTGAAGGTGGTCCAATAGAGTCCCGTTGGGAATGTACTCGTAAACGAGCAACGGTTGTTCTAACTCGACACAACATCCCAAAAGGCGGACGAGGCTCTTGTGGTTGACTTGGCAGAGTATTCGGACCTCGTTCAGGACTTGGTCGGTGCTTTTGGTGTTACCAACTTTTGCACACTTAACGGCGACAGTGGTCCCGTCTTCTAGAAGGCCCTTGTAGACTTCGCCGTAGCCGCCGGAGCCGAGGAGGCGGTCCTTGGCGAAGTTGTTTGTTGCCTTCTTTAGTTGTTTCCCAGTGAAAATTTTCGAGGGGTTTCCGCCCCCGGAGTTGAGGATCTCTTGCCGCTCTCGTGTGAGGCGTTCTTGCTCTTCCTTTATGCGACGGTAGTGATTGTAGACCCAAAATCCGATCGATGATGCTATGAGTGCCACACCGAGGCCTACAGTTAGACCTGCATTTATACATTACAAACAAATGAAATGATAATCGGCAATGATCAAAGGATAATGACATGTATAATTGGAATTGAATATATATCACATGCATGTTTTGTGTTGAATATTTAATTTGCTTGTTAAATAGAATACAAGTATATTCATTGCAGTGTGTTTTTATTAAGGCTAAGACCGGCTTGGGTCGGTCGATTCCCAGCCTAAAAACCGACTCATCCAACAAATCAATTTTGTTAAATTTTGGAAACCATTGCCGACCAACCATTTGTCGGTCGGTTGATGGTTGACAATCGAATATTTTGTCCCGGAATAAGTTGGTTGATGGGTTATACGCGCCACCTAGTTCACCTAAAAAATTCAAATCTTGGAGTACAAATATACACATTTGGCGTGATGCCACCGCACAATCATTATTTATCAGTTCCAAATAATTAATAGCAATTTTACAAAAAATACAATTAAAAAATTCAAATTAATTAAGAAAATACGCCCTTTATTTTATAATTTTTAATAAAATTGTAATAATATAGACATATAATTGGTTGATCGATAATTATCGGTCAACCAACTTTTGATAATATTAGAAACCACGAACCACCCCATTATAGATGAGTTGGTTGAAATTTTCGACCTGATCCAATAGATCTATTAAAACACTACGATCCGCCTAAATAAATAGTCGATAGTAAGTCAGTTGGTGGATAAAAATCAACTCAATCACCACCCTAGTTTTTATTAATCCAGAAATTAGACTATTCAATAAAAGAGAATATATTATATATCATGGGCTTATTGATAGTCGTAAGTTGAAGCTCCTTCTAGAAAGAGAGAGTAAAACAAAATCCTAGGATGTTTTGTCAACGTCAAGAAAAATCAAAGGTAATTTCTGGAAGGCCCGTCTTTATTGACTTTTGATTCATAGAGTTGACCAGTTGGTCATCATCAGTGAATATATATCAAGATAAAAGGTGATAAATATCAAATCAAAGTCAAACTTTTAAGTCAACGTACAGTACCCATAATTATTGGACTGTAAGAAAAATAAAAGAAACGGAATATATTAGACGTACCTGCAATAAGTGCAGTTCGATCATGGCCACAACCATCAGGATTTTGGCACTCTGCATATATATATACATATATAAATGATGATGATCAAGAATATTTGTCTGAATAATCATAGATTTCTTTAATGAATGAAAAAATAAAAAATGAAAACGGACCTTGAGCACAGATTCCGGCAACCGGGTCCCACCGCAACCCGGAATTGCAAAAGCACCTATTGATCACCACACCATTCGGGCTCCTATCCGGCCCACATGTGGAACCCGACCCGCAATCCGACTGCCCACCACAAGTGGGCTCCGGCGGCGGGATCCACAGCAACTCCACGCCGGGCTGCGGCCACCCGCTGACGGGCACGGTGGGGTCCAAATTGACGAAACTCCTGTACGCCCGGCAACCCGAATCCCTGACCCGTATACTGTACGACGTGGTCGACCCGCCGGCGCGGAACGCGCAGCACGGCGCGGCGCGGCACTCGGCGGCGGAGGCGTTGCTGTAGACGTGGCAGAGGCTGGTGGAGGTGCAGTTGAGAGGGGAGTTGACGATGGAGTCGGAGCAGTTGAGGTAGAATATGGTGTTGCTGCTGGTGATGTTGAAGGGGGCCGACGGGTTGAGCTGGAACCCGTTGGTGGGGAGATCGGCTGCGACGCAGGTGTTGGGGAGGAAGGATGAGGGCGCGACGACCAGGCGTTGACTTGAAGGAGAAATTGATGTGATTGGGTATGTGTTGTTTGAGGAGTCGAACATAAGTGTGCCGCCGTCGATGCAGCGGATTTTGTACGACAGGTCGCCGCAGTTGGGGGCGGTGCTGAGGGGGTAGGGGACGGAGGTGGAGCCGCAAGGGGGGCAGGGCGGAAGGGAGAGTACTGCGGAGACGGCGTATGTTAGTAGCACCGCTGCGAGGCGGAGGAGGAGTGGCGGTGGTTTAGCCATGACGGTGAGCGGTGGTTGACGGTGACTCTGGCGGATGAAATATAATGAAACTCAATGGGTATGGGATTATGGGTAATATATATAAATAAGTGATGTTTCTTTCTTCTTTTTTTAATAATGCATAATAAAGGTCAAAATGTTTGAAATTTCAGTGAGTTGAATAATTAGGACGAGCTTGGTTGGTGATCAAATTATTTTGTTTGGTGTTACGTTTAATTTCTTCCGAGAAACTACCCTATGAAAATACATTTTATTTCTCTAGTGAAATCAAAATGACAATGACATTAAAATGTTATCTTTCACAAACTCCATGTTATAAATTTGGGATAATTTGACAAACCCCCATCGTTAGCCTCCTTCAATTACGATAAGTCCATTTTTTTTTAGATTTTTAAGTTAAATCCAAAATATTTTTAATTAATAAAAATTAATAGAATTTCAGGATTATACCCTTCTTCCTATTTCATATAATCTTATTATTTAATTATTTAATCTTAATTTATAATAATTCAATTATAATCTCCATCCCACTCCAAAACCCTATTCTCAAACTCTTTTCTCTCTCACGTAATATCATCGCCCAACTTCTATTCTCTCTCTCTCTCTCTCACACACACACACTTTACTCTCTCTCCGTCTCAAGCAACTTTTCTAATTGAGTTTCTGAGGTTGTAATTATTTGATGGAGTGTTTTTTATTTATTTATGATATAGTTGGTCAACTGCTGTTCGTGAGGGCGATCTCTCTCCCCCTCAACTTTCTTCTCTCCATTTAGCAATCTCCTTTCTCTAAAATTTTAGTGAAGCACATCGGAGCCCTAATCATCTAAAATTCGTGTTTTTCTACGTTAGCCCCAGAGCATAAACTAATGACTGGAAAGGTGGCCGGAGTGGTTTTCAATAATTATTTACAGAAATTTTTATAGTGGTTTTCAATAATTATGTACAGATTTTTATAGTGGTTTTCAATATTTTACATAAACCACTATAAAAATTTGTACAAAAATTATAGTGATTTTCAAATATTTTTGTACAGATTTTTATACAACTGTATATACAGAGTGATTTTTATGTTGATATAGTTATTATACAAAGTGATTTTCAAGTTTATATAGTTGTTATACAAAGTGGTTTTCATGTTATACAGTTGTTATAAAGAGTGATTTTTATGTTTATATAGCTGTTTATACAGAGTGGTTTTCATGTTTATATAGAGTGGTTTTTATTTAAAAAAACTCGAAAGAAAATATAAAAAAAAAACCATTTCAAAAGAAAATTCAAAATTAAGAACAAAGAAAAACCATGAAAAAACGAAATAAAAATAAAACCATTTTTTTAAATTAAAATAAAAAACATGAAAAATATAAATAAGAAAAAATAATAATTTAAAATAAAACCGAAAAAAAAAAATAATTATTACAAAATTTTCTTTTAAATCGAAATAAAGAAAACAATTAAAAAAAATATAAAAAGAAAAGAAAAAAAACTGAATTGGCGTGATAAGGGGAATACTTTTTTGGAGAAGATTTGGGTGTAGATTATGTGTATAATTTTTTTAAATTAAATAATTATATTAATTAATAATTGGTGGGGGCATATATGGTTTTTCAGGCCCATTAGATTTATCTCAAATATCATTTATCAATAAATGATTTATCAAAAATTAAAATATCAATGAAGGGTGTTTGGCATATAGCCCCTATAAATTTTAGGGTAAATTATGGTCACTCCTGATAGGTAAGGTTAAATTAAAAAAAAAATTCTTATATCTGGATAACTGTGAATCTTCTTACGTTCAACATTGTGGTGTCAAATTTAGTGGAATATTCTTCACTTTGTACCCCTTTTACCTCATTTACATTTTGAAACTAGATGATCATAAAATGTGTCTCTTTCCTTGTAAATATCAGATTGTGATGCATAAAAAACTGCATCTTTACATAAAACGAGTATAAACTAGAGAACATACCACGGAATCTAGAAAATTATGTTGAATGTTGAACGTGTAGGAAGATTCATAGTTTGCGAGGGTGGTTGTACTTACCCAACCATAATGGGATTTTTCGTAATTGGATCTTAACTCAGTGAGATAGTCTTAACTTACCCTAATTTTTAATCCTAATCTTAAATGCGGAATTTTAAAAACAAAAAAGATTACCTTGAAAAATTCATATTTGATCCATTCCATTTTTTTGAATCTAAAAGAATCAGGCTTTTCGGATCTGAGTATGGATAATTTTAAAAACAAGTGAATCCTAAGCTTGAAAGCATCAAAGTATCAAATTTGCCATTAACAAATTCATACCAAAGCTATTAAAAGCACATATACTTAGGACCATCATATGGGGGAAAACAAAAACATACAAGGGTAAATTTTATTTGCATACACATACGCAGTCATTTGCCCTAAACAGTCTGGTAATAAGTTTGTTAATAATCTCTAACCTTAGAATATCCGAAATACTACCCAAATATTAACACTAAAGTATTGACCAACGCACACCTTCAATCCACTCCAACTGTATCTACAATCTTAACGAAAACTTAAAAAAAAAAGTGAAAGGATCATCGAATAATGTCAGCACACAGAGCTTCCACGTAAGAGCAACATCTCAGTGGTCTTCCTGTCGTGAAAATACATAAACAATTAAACAAAATAGCATCAACTAAATCGAATGGCCAAAAAAAAAAATTTGAGAACTTTATAGAAGTTTTTTCCACTTATATAGACACAATGAAAGAAAGACAATAATAAATAAATGACGTGCTTTAGGAATAAGTGAAATTAGCTACATAACTTACAAAGTTAAATTGGAGATGTTGCGAGGAAGCATTGGGGGCCTGTTTAAGTGTGTAGGTAATTAGCAGCCATCATGAGTTCCAATGTCAGCTCGGGTTCGATATGAAACTCAGTTTCCTTGCCACTACAACGTAAAATTCCCACGTAAAATGTTAACGTCGCTATATACCATAAATCTAGCAAAAACGAGAATTTATAATTCTGTCAATCGCTAATCTGCCATTATCCATACTCACAGGAATTTGCTTTTATTCCATAATGATTAGGAAATATCAATTGATTTTAAATGGTTATCCAATACCGTACATATTAGTGCTCATAACACGTTTTTTACTTACCTGAGAGACCAACAAACTTGAACTTCCTTTCAACTTATCAAGTTCTTGATTATTATTAAGTTGTACTTTGATCTTATTCAGATTTTTGTTTATCAAAAGAATACTTCCAGAAAGAAATAGGGATGATTCAAAGTTATCCTAATAACAACACAAAAGGTAGCTTTTCAAGATACAAATGCGAGACGACAGGACACTGTTAGTATATAACACGCAAAACCGTAAGAATAGTACTACCATGTGTGACAAGTAGGTAACTTCAAAACACTCAACAGCTCGTGCGTAAAATAAATTCAATCTTGCAGTTACTTTTTAAGACCTAAATTCTTGCCATATGCATATTCTAGGACTCGTTTAGTTTAATAAACAAGGTTTTATATTTTGCACAACATTCTAAATCTCCCTTTGTATCTTCAGCTAAAAAACTATATTTACTTGACTAGTCATACATATAGTCGAAAGTTTCACAAAGACATTTCCAGACCTCGTAAAATGCCGTCAGGTCCAAAGTATCGCCAACTTTAACTGTTTTCAGGTTTTCTTTATTTTCAACCGATTCTATAAAGAAAAGGATAAATCAACTTTTATACCACAGTTTACTTTCCAATCGTAGTCTATATACATGCATTTCACATAATAGCATATCCACATCAATCGAGTATATTCACCTATCTTCAGTGACCTAAGAAAAAGAAAACAAAGAGAAGAAAAAAAAAACTACAACTCCATACAATTGTGACTGTTCATTGGAGACTGACCATATAACAGAAAATTAACTCTCGGGTATCAATTATTAGCCGTGAAAATATGAAACATGAAACGAAACCGACAGTAAATTGAATATGGCGAAAGACCAAACAAAGAACAACGTTCGTAAAAAACATGATCATGCTCACAACATGGGTCATAATTTTATCTCCTTAAAAAAAGATGCACAAAAACTGAGAAGTTAGAGAGAAAAACCTTGCATACTGAAGAGACCAGTAAAAATACTGGCATATCTTTTCCAGAATGGTAGTGCTTATCTCCGGAAAAGTCACCTCACCGTGCTCTGTTTCGGCAAAACTACCTACAAATGTGCAAATACATACAATTCTTGTCACACACACACGACATAGTAAAATAAATTCAATTTTATCCAAAAAGCTAATTCCTCGTATTCTCCAATATTCATAATTCGCTGAAACTCGAGAAAAATCTTCATTTTTTTCTCAAAACCAAGATGTCGTCTAGATCAATTAGAATTTAGAACACAATTCATCCATCAACAGTATTCCTAAAAACTACTGCGTAAATAACATGAAGGAACTAAATATATCAAGGATGGTAAAATTGAATTATATGACTGGATTGAAAACCTAAATTATGATAAGAAAATCCCAATTGGTGTAAATAGTAGTAGACCTGGAGAAGTGAGCATATTGCGGATGGTCTGAGAAACCATAGCAGCCTTTTTGTCGATGACGAATTCGAAACCCTCGGCGCTGATTAGCTTCACGGTGTCTTCCTTCTTCATCCTTAATCCCCCAAATTAATTAATCGCTGATCAAGAATCTCTGTAAATGCGGATACCGATTGATTGGGGTTCTAGGGTATTCCAATTTGGGGGTTTCGAGGGAAACAGATTGATTGGGTCTTAAGAAGGTTTTCACAACTATGGATATGCTGAAAAACGCGACTTTTGTAATTTTATTTATGTCGTGTCAAAATGACTTTGAAGTTCTTATAAGCTTTTTGCTTTTTTCTTTTCTCTCTCTTTTCTTTCTCTCTTTTTTTTTTTTTTTAATTAATAATCTAATTGTGAGTTTTTGGAAAAGCAAATTTTACTTTGTTTCTCTTAAAATAAAGGGTTAATGAGATATAATCCCTCATCAGGAAAAATAGCAGGACTAGTCACTTCACATTATTTTTAATGAGTCAAACCCTGTCACAATTAGCAATTACTAAAACTATCCTCATAATTTCTAATAGCAATGATCTTCACTGTTTTCCCCAAAAACCGCATATCTTCAACCATTTCATCATAATAATTTCGCCCAAATTTCCGCTAATATGCTATATATGTGCCAAGAAAATCGCAAAAAAAAAAAAATCTGCAAAAATATCGGATCCTTTTCCAGTCGCAACAATGCCATAGTTTGCTACATTTCTTCAAAAAAAAAAAAAGAAAAAAACCAAATAACATTTGTGTGGGAATCATTGAGAAATACAGATCGACAACAATGGTGAAAATGTAGCAAAAAGAAGACAGATAATTTCCTATACATCCATCGCTTCCCTCAACGTCTATTAACCTAATTTATGTACATTTACCACATAATTTATGTTTTTGACAGAAAGGGAAGTTGTGCCCAATGACTGGAATAAGCTAGTACCATAGACTTTGAGCTATGGACTACTCCTTAAGCAACATCGTTCTTTCGAGTCCGGAGATTCGACACACAAGCTCATTTCGTTGAGCCAAGAGAACTTTTCCGAACTTCCCTTTGTTAGAGTAGGTGACCAACAAGCCAACTTGTGGCTGTGGTCTTTCTCTTTTTCCTTGTAATAAAACAATCGTTTTTCGTTCGTAATAATAAAATATTTCATTTGACATTCTATATCTCTTATCCCATGCAAGCAGCATAGATATAGTCCTAACGAGTTACTCTATTACTGTGAGTTGATCTAGTAGAATCGTGAGATAACTCAGCAATGTAATGTAACTGTTAAACCTTGTTCCTAGTCGATGGGTTACGCCAATAATGAGGATACCGGCCTTTCCCTTTTGAGACTAGCACTTAGTGTATGTGTACTGCGTCTCATCAGTCCTCGATGTTGTGACATCGGCATACTTGAGTGGGTGCTCATACTAGATGAGTTCACTGAACTCCCTCGCCCTAGAAATCTATAAGTGGTTCTCATTCATCGAGTAATAGGTTTCTAAGATATAGTTGTACACCATTAGTCCTTAAGACCCAGACATCACCGTGACTTCACTAGAGGACCGATTGTATCGTGACCTGTCCCTGAGTCCCACAGCGGACCACTCCAAGGGCCAACGTTCGTGCAATCCGAAATCTAGTGTGAAGTCTGTGCATTGTAGTAGGGGATTCGAGCGCTTGAGTAGTCATGGATGTCCTGTGTGTTCTGACGGTTTATAATCCAAGGAATCTCCGGCAATAGTTGATAGTGGGGTGATTAGGGAAATGTGTTTCCCTAAGTCACACACGAACGGATTTATAATACCTAGAACGTTCGCACGGTTATTGAACTTTATAAGAGGTCTCGGTGAACCAATGCCTCTAGTTCAATCGGGACATGTGCTGCGAAGGGATCGTACTGTATGCTAACTATATCATAAGGTTCTTGCAGGCACTTCACTTGTATCTAGGGAATCATGATGCGTAGTTGCTAGACGCCAATCTTGATTCGTTCGGGACCGATTTGATCGGCGATTAAGTAAAATGAGTTTTACTCTAATCGGGACTCTTGGGAGGAGTTCGTATAAGAACAATGTGTTGTTCGAATCACAAAGAGTTGTGAGCCCACGGCTAGCATACACCTGAACCATTGAGGGTCACACTTCTCGTGTAATACGGATCCTTGATAACAATGAGCATAGGTTAATATCTTAATCTTTGCAAAGTTGGAGGTCAATATGATTGAGTCCAAGATTCGTGATTGTGGATTACGAATCGGAATAAACGTAGAGAAAGAGAAATGCGGAAATTAGTGAACTTTCTAAATTGGGAAGTTTCCCGATTTAGCAGGTCCACTGAAGTGGAAGTTTCCATTTTTGGAAATTGGAAATTTCGAAGAGGCACTCGTATCGACGAGGATTTTGAGCTCGTCACAAATATAATTTTGTTATAATTTTGTGAACGATCGTTTGTTAGAAACGAGGCCGACGAGGGAATGGGCTTAATGCATCAGTGGGTCAAGCCCAATGACTTAAACCTACAAGGGTTGAGAACCCTAGTATAAATAGACCTCAAACAAGAGTTTGAGATCAGATTTTTTTTTACTCCAAAACCCTAGCCGCCCAAGTCTCTCGGCCGTTGCTGCCCCGCCGCACCGGCACCGTCCGCCGACCGGAAACCGCCGGTTTTTCCCTCTTCTTTCTCTCTCGTGTTTCCCTTGTTATCTAACCCCTTTTGTATCTAGTGCTACAGTAGGGGGAGATCGGTTTATTCGAGGTGAAACCTAATTGGAGAGGAGCTGCTGCCCCGAAGGAATCACCACTCCGCCGCTGCACCGCCCACGCGCCGCCGCCGCTGCCTTGCACGCGCCGCCGTCCGACCAGCTGCCGCTTGGTGGTATTCTTGCAACCCCTAGGAGTGGTATAACGCAGCTTGTACGGGTTTGAGTTCGATTTCGATTCGTCGAAATCTCACGCTACAAGAGGTAATCAAATCGAAACTTTCGTAAATTAATTCGAACATGTTTGTATGAATTTTAATTTACGAGCATGTGCGATATGTGATTGCGTGTTTCGATTTTGTAATATGATGAACAAGCATGTTTTATATTTTTCGGTTTTACATGTTTTTAATAAAATCGATAATTACCATATGTATGGCGGAAGCGTTAAGGTACGTTGACTATGTGATTAGTTTATGCATGTAATCGAAACCAGTTCGATCTAAAAATTTTAAATTCCGCTGCGTATACATGCACGATCCCCAACAGTGGTATCAGAGCCAGGGGTTAATCGTTTATTTGTCAACGTGTTTATCGCTTTCGAAAGCATGCTTCGATTTGTTGAATTGTTGAATTTTTGGTATTATCAAATTGGGTGGTTTAATATTAATTAAATATTTTGAATATTTCAGAAAATATAAAATTTTTATTTTTTTTAATTTAAAAACTCGGATTTTTTCCTGCTGATTTTTGTCGGTTTTCTGCTGACCGAACCGGTCCGGTCAGCACACACAAAAAAAAAAAAAAAATTGGTTTTCTGATATTAATATTAAAATTAATTGATTTTTAATTTTTGAAATTATTTATGAATTAAACCCAATTAGATAATTGATCCATTAATTTAATTTGAATTCAAAGAATAGTGTTGGATTAATTATTTAATTTAATTCGTTAAATTAGTTTAATTAATGGAACACAAATTAAATGGCAAATAATTAATGGACTTCATTCTTATTTGATTGATTTATGAATGAAGGGAGTCCGTTAATTATATTTGCAATTAATCGTATTAATTAATTAATTCATGAGATGAATGATTGTAATTAAGTACAATGATGATCGTATGTCTCTCTTAGGATCAATATGCGTTTCCACATACCTAGAGAACATAGTTGTAGGAATCACAAACGATCATAACCTAATACTTCCGATGAGCTAATAAGATTTAATAAATAAAATCCCTCGTTCTTGATCAAGAATAATTATCAAGCTATAAAGAAAAACCAAATTGTTGAATTTTTCTTTCCTTCTACCAACAATTAAATTATGTGTAGCCTCTCATAATAGTGCAGTAAGCCGTGTTAGCGGGGAGTGCTATTATGGGATAAGCTGTAATTTAATTGACATTAGATGGAGATACGGTCATAGATAAAATTCTATTGGATTAATGTGGTCGGCTAGATTAACTAGGGATTGCATTAGATTGATATAGTTGGTTCTATGACATCTCATATTGGTAGGCTAGACTTGACACACGAAGATTTTGATATTCGCTAGATTAACTTAGGTCATTATCAAGTGTGAGGTAAATCAAACTTTAGGGTCACATAGTGATGTGATTGATAGTACTCTACCTTTAGGCTTATGTAATCGGGATAGATTAACTACGGGTTACATTAGCGCTATTGGACCTAAAGCCCATTAAAGAAAAATAAGTTTTCTCGATTGTCTGCTAGAGGGTGGTGGAATTCGATAAAATTAGTGGGAGAACAATTAAAACATAAAAGTCCAAAATTTTAATTGTAACGATTACTACGAAATAAACTCTAATTATTGTCTTCTTAAAATTTTCTCAGCAACAATGTCCAAACATCCCCTTTCCTCTATCCTCGACCAAAACAAACTCACCGGTCCAAACTATTTGGATTGGCTTCGCAATCTGAAACTTGTGCTCCAAGTCGAAGAGCGTCTCTATGTGCTAACCCCCCCCCCCCCCCCCCCCCCCCGCTGCTCTCCCTGCGACTGCTATTGCTTACGAGGCATGGAAGAAGGACGATCTCCATGCGAGGTGCTACATGCTAGCATCCATGGTGCCAGAGCTCGCGAGGAAGTATGAGTCTCACGTGCATGCTTATGATATCAAGCATCATCTTGAAAGCATGTACAGTGAGAATACTAGGGCATCGAGGTAGTCAGCTACCAAGGAGTTGATCACCATGAGGCTGCGTGAAGGGGCTTCGGTCCACGAGCACGGTCTCAAGATGATAACTCTCCTTGAGAAGTTGGTGAGCCTTGATGTCACCCTCCTCGCCGAGCTCTCGGTGGATTTGATCCTACTGTCCCTTCCTAGTTCTTATGAGTCGTTCATAGTGAACTTCAACATGAACAAGCTCGATCCACTATTGGATGAGTTGTTGAACATGTTGGTCAGCTATGAGTCCACGATCAAGAAGGAGAAATCTATTCTCCTAGTTGCTCCTTCTGCGAAGAAAGGTTCTTTCCAGAAGAAAAGGAAAGAAAGGAGTTTCGGCCCGAGCAAGAAACTTGACAAGGGCGAGTCGAGC